TAAAGAACCAAGCTTTAAATTCTCTCTCAGCGAGGCTGTGCTAAGGATCAAATAGAAATCTGGATAGAAAGAACCTGTCTCCGAACACTATTTTTCTGTTTGAAAAGCTCTCAGCTACCTGACATAACAGCTCCCCCATCTCACTGACTTCATATAAGAGTTAACTTCTGTGAGCTGCACATGCCTGTAGTCCCAACAGTTGTAAGTTGAAGACAGGGACATTTGAGTCTGAGTTCAGGTGGGTCACAAAGTGAGAAACTGTCTGGAAAAAAAAAAGTCACACCACAGTTCAGACTGGGCTGGAGGTTAGCAGAGGAGAGGGAATAGATCGTGCATGGGCCAATTCTTTTGATCATGTCTACTTCTACGCTAAGGAATAGAATCAGCAATGCAGCTGGTCTACCTGCAGGAGAACCCAGGTAAGCAGCCCTTCTGTGTGGTCAGGAGGAAAGGGAAAATGTTTTGACTAACTACTCAGCCTCTACACACTAGCATTATAACCACAGGAGGTTTTGTTGGCTGCCACCCAGTCTCAGGACTAGGAGAGGCGGAATGCAGAGAAAGGGCTTTATTAGCAACTAGGCTGCAAAGGCGGAGAGGGCAGGCACTTGCCTTCCAACAACCATCCTTGCCTCCAGGGAGAATCTTTGATGACTTTCCAAGGGGAGATACTTGTGTTCCAGACTGGTGGGTGCCTTAATTCTCCAATGTTTTAAAAAGAAGCTGCTCCTGGGCTCGACTTCTTATCTACTTCACAGAAGGTGGAGAGAGGGTCATCTCCACTGTATCTAAAGACGGCATAAGTAAATGATCAAAGTATCTGTTCATTAAAGTGACTTGTGTTTGGCTTTTGTTGTGGTCAGGGTTTCTAGTGAGTATCCTTCCAGGTGTGACCGTCTCCTATAACTTGAGACTAGGGCATGCTCAGGAAGGGAGGGCTTATGTATTCTTAGCTAACTTTAGTGTAAAGTTAATCTATAAAAAAAAAGACTTCAGGGAGCAGTTACTCCTTATGAGAAAGAGTAGGCAGGAGATAGGAGCAACACCTGGGATGGGGGGTGATGTGCACCTGCAGTATATTGGAGATTAAATGGATGCCTTTAAGAGTTTAACTCAACATCCTTGCACTTGGAACAAGGGTTCAAATTTTATTATGTTCCACCCCTCAGTGAGCTAGTTATAATACCAATTATTTTCATTTCAGACACAAAAATCACGTTCCAGGAGGTTATTTCCCCAAATTTGCATGACTAGTAAATAGCAGAATGGCCACAAGTCTAAGGGTATATTTTTTAAGTACCTGACAAATACAGATTTTGCTTTTATAAGGAGAGTGACATTTTTGATTTCCTAATAAATCATACTATACCCTTATCATTTCCCATCAATAAAAGAATCTGGACCTGTCATTGTGAAAGGTATCATTCCTGTATAGCTGCAGGTCCTGAGGCTTAAACCACTGATCTCTATAAGGAGTGCACAAGGCAAGCCAGTGAGTTATGGTAAGAATTGTAGAGCCGGGCAGTGGTGAGGCACACCTTTAATCCCAGCACTTGGGAGGCAGAGGTAGGCAGATCTCTGTGAGTTCGAGGCCAGCCTGATCTATAAGAGTCAGTTCCAGGACAGGCTCCAAAGCTACAGAGAAACCCTGTCTCAAAAAAAAAAAAAAAAAAAAGAAAGCAACTTCCACTTATGTCTGTTATTTAAGCAACAAGTAATGAGATTCTTTTCACTTGGATTGAGGTTGGGATCCTCTGCAGCAGCTTTGCTAGTCTCTTCTTTTGCAGTGCTGAGCAGGTGAACCTAGAATCTCATGCATGCCACGCAAGCACTCTGCCACCCATTACATTACATTATCTGTGTGCTTAAAAGATTTCTTTTTTGAGATGGTCTTGCAAAGTCACTCAGACTGGCCTGGAATTTTCTAGCCTCCCACCTCAGTCTCCCAAAGAGTTGGGATTATAGACATGCTTGACCATCTCACTGGACTCCTCCCTCGATTCTTATATTTGATGTCAACACAAATGGAGGTTTAGAAGCTCAGTGATCTGAGCAACCTACATGGTAGAAAGAATCAACTCATGAAAGTTGTCCTCTGATCTATACACACACACACACACACACACACACACACACACACACTGTAAGAGACAGAGAGAAAGAGACACATAAAGAGATGTAAAAAATTATAAATGGAGTTTTTTTCATCTGGTAATATATCTCAATCTTGTAAGAGATTTTGACTTAAAAAAACCAACTAGTTTTAACAAATTAAATCTCATAAAATTAACAACCATTTTTAAATGATTGCTTTCCTCAAAAAACTGTATAAATTGAAGATGGTATGTAGAATCAGAAATATCAGAACTGGCCGGGTGGTGATGCATGCCTTTATTCCCAGCACTCAGGAGGCAGAGGCGGGTGGATCTCTGTGAGTTCTAGGCCAGCCTGGTCTACAAGAGCTAGTTCCAGGCCAGGCTCTAAAACTACAGAGAAACCTTGTCTCGAAAAACAAACAAACGAACAAAAAATCAGAACTGAGAATTTATTCTTTTTTATTTTAATGTGCATGTGTCTATGTATGTGCATCCAGAGGCCAGAACAAGGTATCAGATTTCCTGGAGCTAGAGTACAGTAATTGTTCAACGTGGGAGCGAGGAGCCAGTGCGGGTCCTTTAGAAGAGCAACAAGTGCTCTTAGCCACTGAGACATCACTTCAACCCTATTTGTCTTTTTTTCTTTCTCTTTTTCTTTTTTTTTTTTTTTTTTTGAGACAGGGTTTCTTTGTGTAGCCCTGGCTGTCCTACAACTCACTCTGTAGACTAGGCTGGCCTTGAACTCACAGAGATCTACCTGCCTCTCCTGAGTGCCGGGACTAAAGACGGGTGCCACCACCGTCTGGCATTTTTTTTTTTCCTATTTGTCATTTTTGAGACAGTTATGTAGTCCTGGATGATCTGGTATTATGTATCCCAGGCTGGTCTTGAACTCACAGTGAGCCTCCTCTCTAGGGTGCATTTGGGCAGAGGTGTGGGTGCCATTCACCTTTTTGTGGGGGTATCTTTCAGTGGCCTGGGGCTCACCAACAGACAAAGCTGGCTGGCTAGCTCCGTCTTCCCTGCACTGTGTGTCACACCTATGCACAGTTCCCAGGGATTCAATCTGACTGGGAGTGGAGGAGAAAATGAAGAGACAGACAGATGGACACATGTACAAAAAACTGGGATCAGGTAGACCGGGCTCTAGGATGGAGAAACTTCACTGTATAAAGTTGAGCAGAGAGGAAGGGTTGCTGCTTGCAGTCGAACAAGAAGGTAGGGTTGTGGTACACAACTGGATTAAGGGGACCAGTTTAGCTAATCTCAGTAGGGACAGTCTTTGTGGGGAAGTGGTCTTCAGGTTGTGAATATCAAAGAGTTGGGGTGGGGAACGAGAAAGTCATAGTGAACATTCTCTGCACACACTATCAACATGCACACATTGAGCAGAGGAAGGCTTTGCCATTTCCCTCTGAGTCCGAGGTTATGTGATCCTTGACAAGGTGGGGCCTATGTTAATAAAACACATTTACTTAGGATTGCCTCCACTCCCTACAAATGTGTCTGACTCTTTAACACAGTTTCTGGTGACTGAAACTTGGGTCCTCATGCTGCATAGCAATCACTTTCCCAGCAAGGCTCTCCCCTTTGCCCAGTGTAAGCAGACATTTTCCCTGAAATAAAATAATTTCAGTTTCATCCTACCCATTTAAAGGTTTGCCTTAATTTCATAACATATTACCTATAATAGTGTCTATAACTTGAAGTATACCTTACACACATTGTGGGTATATATTAAAATTAATTTGAAATTATTGACTTAGATAAAGACTCTACCGTTCACCAGCTGAGCATTCTAGTCTGTGAACACAGTAGGACTCGGTACTGAGTAACCATGCAATAAGAGTCGGTCGCTATACCAACATCAGGGTTAGTTTTTAAGCCCAAGGAAGTACAGATGACTCTGATGCAGATTCATGATGTATATATTAGTTCCACCATAAACTGACCTACTTGGAGACAGTTTCTTGGTCGGGAACTATAAAATTTGCTGCAATTATCATAATGCTGGAATTAAATGTTCCTGTGAGAATGCCTAGAAAGACCTCCCTCTGTTCTTTTCCTTTCACTGTACCAGGGAAAACTGGGAAGATCTTCCTGACTTCTCCCTGCAAACACCACCGTGGGCAGACCAGTGCCAAGGGCCTGCAGGTAAAGGTTCTTTCCCCAAGCCTGACAACCCGAGTTTGATTACTGGGCCCCACATAGTGGAAGAACAGAACTGATTCCTGTAAGTTGTCTTCTCTTACCACATATGTGCAATGGAACACCCCCAACCAAAAACAAACAAACAAACAAACAAAAAACCAAACCATTGCCACCAAAACCCAAAGCAAATATATATTTTTTAACAGTATAGTGATCCACCTGAAGTCCTACTGAGAACACTAATTCCTGTGCTGAGATCCCTGTCACTCTACTCTAGGGTTTCCTTTTTCTGTTCTGTGCTAAGAGCACAGCATAAAACAGTGACTCAAGGCAGCTACTTGACTGTGTCTGCCGGCCTGCTAAGGGGATGTGCATGATCCAGTGGAGATTAAGCCTATTTAGTTCATAGGTTCTATAGTGCAGACTCTGACTTTAGCTGTGCTACAAAACCTCTCTTCGGCTACCATGTCACTTACAAAGTGGAAAAACACTTCGTAGGGCTGTTGCAAACACTACATGAGATAACAGACTGTGAAAACGTAGTTCATTTTACGTGTTTAATAGAGGTTATTTTCTTCATTCTCTCATCTAAAACACTAAATCCCTCTTTGGATGCTTGTTGAGGAAAAGAATGCTGATTTATTTTTTAGAGCTCTGATTCTCTTGCCAAGTATGACTTCTCATTGATAAATACTGTTTACTATGTCAGGTGCTGTAGTAAGTACTTGCCACTCATTTTTCTCTAATACTCACCACAATCATATGAAGGACTGACAAAAATTCGATTTCAGCCAGGCAAGGTGGTATATGCCTATAGTCTTAGCGTGGACACAGGAGGGTCATTCCAAGTTTAAGGCCAGCTTGTTCCATATAGTGCATTTATGCCAGCCAACTATATAGCAAGATCCTGCCCAAATAAATAAACAAAAATATAAATGTCACACATAAGAAAACCGAGTCCTTGTAATTTACCTATAATTGGATGCTGAAGACACTTGGGACACTTGAAGACACTCTAGGAGTCACAAACTTGTTGCCTGCACCACATTAAAGGTTCAAGTGACCAACGTTCAGCCTGCTTAGAGCTGGGCCTGTGGTTTTTACTGACTTACCCCAAATAAGCCACATACATTTGAACTCCGAGCAAACACTGCCTAGGGCTTTTGTACCAGGAGACTCTAGCGTTACCTCCCCCACAAGGCTGTGCTCTTTGGAAAGCAGTGTACAGAAGTGCCAGGAATCAGATCCTTTGAAGTATAAGGCTATGAAATCAACCTGCCCAGGCACTGGCCCATCTGCCAGCTCTGAGTCAGCTGGCAGGCAAAAAGGGCCAGAGGCTCAGATGTAATCAGATCCTAAACAGGTCTGACTACACCACCTCTGCCTTCCTCAGTCTGCCATATCCTTCCAACCTGATCTTACCAGAGTCCTCCCGACATGGAAGGCACCATGTCTCACAGCAGTGAATCCCCTGAATGCTTCCCTGACTACCAAAATTGCCAGCCGCACTTACAAATGATGATTGATGGCAATGCCAGAGGTTATGAGGAGGAAGTTGAAGTGGATTAAAATCAACCAGGGGTCAAAATCCCAGTTTTGCAATACTGTTTTGTAAATTGTCTAATAGCTTTACATTTTAGTTTTCTTATTAACAAGTTGGGGTGACAATATTAAGACTCTTCTGGGCTGTTTAGAAAGATCAGATGAGAGGAAACAAATGGGAAATGCAGGAAAGGACCCTTGGGACAGTGACTCTATGCACAGTAAGCATTCAGACGTTAGCTACACTGTGCAGCCTAGCGAGTGTGAATGAAAGCCTATTGTTTGTCTCCAAAAGCTGATATGAAAATTACAAGACCTCGGCACCTATCAGGTGATCAGAACACGAATCACTCCCTGTTCTATACTTTGAGCACAGTAAATACTTTGCATTCCTTCCATCCTAAACCTACTTGACTGGCAGGCTTGCTCTCAGGTAGAAGGTGAATGCTTCTGGAGCTTCAGTAAGCAGATAAAACAGCTGCTCTGGTTAAATGTCAGCAGGTATTTCTTGAAGATTCCTTGACAAGAGGATCATCAAACAGGGATGAGAAAACATGGTGTATGTGTGCCACTGTTCTCCTTTAGCCAGACTGACCCTCGCCACTTAGTGGGCTATGCCATATTTCAAAGAGACTACTTGTTCTACATGCCATTGTTATCCACTATGAGGCAAGACAATTTTTTGTCACCATTGTTTATCCAAGAAAATTTCAGAGGGGCTGATCTAAAGGATTCCAAGTGAATTTCAGAGGGGAGAGTGGTAGTAAATGAGAGTAACCACTCACTACGAAGTCCAAAATATGCTGTATCCTCATTTCTTTAAGACTGTACACTGTGCACTGTAAAGGTTAAAAGAAAGTAATACCAACCATTTGGTTATAGCACACATTCATAAATCTAAACACAAAATGGATAAATTTTCTACTTATAGGAGAAAAACACAGCATGCCATTCAGTGACCCATCAGGATGCCTGGTGTAAGTTTTCTCAAGTTCACAGAGTACCACTAAGGTGTGGCAGCATTTAACAGTATCATGCAGATGAAAGGAACTTCCTCCAGGCTATGTGTATACTCACACACTTCCAGGGCTGTTTTACCTGAGTCATGCACCTTACTGCATCCCAGAAGAGCTACAAGCATTTGTACATAGATGTAGTGTCCGGGACTTGGCCAATTCCCTTTCTATATATGTATGGGGGCAGGAGTAATATCTTGAATGGATCCAAAACTTTTGTAAAATCCTTAAGAGCTTCGTGCACCCATATCATTGAGAACTACGGCCTGAGGAGTTAGGAAGGTAGTACAGCAGTTGAAAACACTTGTTCTCTTCAGAGGACCTTGGTTGTTTCACAACACCAACAGAGAGAGGCTAATAACCATCTCTAACTTCATTCCAGAGGTTCTGATTTCCTCATCTGACTTCCATGAGCACCAGGCATTGCATGTAATACACATCCATACACCAAGGCAAAACACTTTTACACATAACATTTTAAATACTGAGAGAAAAAAGAATTCAGCCTGGCATTATGGCACTTGTAATCCCAATACTTGTGAGACAGGCAGAAGGATCAGGAGTTCAAAAACTACCTCAGCTACATAGTGAGCTTGAGGTCAGCCTGGGTTACATGAGATCATGTCTTAAACAAAAGGAAATGTTTAAGAGACCATGGAGTGTGCACAGATCTTAAGTGGGGGAGTAACAATATCATGGCATGATATAGACTGTATGAGATATGAAAGCAGAAGGCGGAGCTATTTTAGGAGGGAGGACACCAGCCTGAGGGGCAGGGAGGATGGAGGGGGACAAGGAAGGGCAGGGATAAACTAGAACAAAGAATAATCACACACACTGTAGTGAACCCTACTACTTCATATGTTTAAACTTCTTTAAAAAGTACTACTATCTCAGGACTCTAGAAAAATCCTGACTCTTCCAATACCATACAGAGGCACCATACTGTCTTTGTCCTTAAAGGGGAGGTCAACAGGAACAAACATTCTGAACCATTCTAGTGACTGAGTTGGACCTGGTGACATAGGCCAGTAATTTTAGCCTCAGGAGTCTGAAGCAGTAGGGCTACAAGTTCAAGGTCTGTCTCAGGAGACTTGTGACCTGTAGCCAACTGAGTGAGGTTTGTCTAATGATACAAAGTGAAAACAAAAATGCCCAGTTTCAAATTTTAGTACTGGAAAAGACTTTCAAGTGATTTATAGTATGTTTGTTTTTAAAATTTTGTTGTTTTCTGTATAATGCAGGCTACTTTTGTTAAATTTGTTTATCTCAATGACAGAAAGATTATGCCACGTACCCTGAGGCCTAACAGCCTTTACTTCTAGCAAAGGCAGGCTGATCCCTTAAATTCAAGGCCAGCCTGGTCCATATAGCAAGTCCAGGCCAGCCAGGGTTACATAGAGCATATTTCAAACAATAAGATATAAGCACACCATGTATAAAGTATTTAGTACATGGTAGACCTCAAATGTTATTTTCACATACCAATTTAATGTCACATGCATCTGTTCATCTCCTTCCTGTCTTTAAGGGCTTCTTGTATTAATCACTGAAATGAGTCTTTACTGTCAAGACTATGTTATCCAGGATGGGAGAGGAGGTTTGGTGCAATCTCCATGTTTGTACACCCATAATTTATGGCAAACTATAAAATTCCTTAAACAATGTAGGTTAAAAGCTCAATGTCTGGTACAAAAAAAAAGTACTAAATAAATAAGAACTGGAAAATGAAAATTAAGAAAAAAAATCAAATCAGAAAAACAGTTCCTTCAAACAGGAGGAACACTGAAGCTGTAGGTGCCACAGAACTCAGACTGTAGGAGGAACACTGGCAATCTGTAAGTCCCACAGAATTCACAGACTTTTGAAATGAGACTGAGGGGTCAGAGAACTGCACCTACTTAAATTCAACTTAGATTAGTTGTTAAGATTTAACTACATGCAATTTGAAGAGAAGATTATCATAGACTTTCCCTGATCTAATCTATAGATGTCTCTAACAAGTCAGGCTTGGTAGCATATGCCTATAACAGCACATTTGGGAACAGAAGCAGAACGATCATGAGTTTGAAACCAGCATTAGTAAGACCTTGTATCAAAACCAAAACAAACCAAACATTGTTTTTTTCAAGACAGAGTTCCTCTGGTTAGCCCTGGCTATTCTGGAACTCGCTCTGAAGACCAGACTGACCTCAAACTCAGAGATTCACCTGCCTCTGCTTCCTAAATGCTGGGATTAAAGTCATGTACGACTACTGCCCAGCCAAACTGATCCTTTTAAAGACATTTAAAAACAGAGACAAGAGGATAATGGTCTTAAAAAAAAAATCAAACAAACACAAAAAAAGAAGTTACTGCCAGAGTCAGCACTGGAAAATGGTTCTGTACATATTTGGACACTAATCTTCTTCAGGGATCATCTCCTTTTGTTCCTCACCTGTGAATCTGGGCATCTAATATTACTCAAAACACAATGCAAAAACATATTTCCGTGCACTGTCCTATGGCCAGGCCTTATTATCTTCCCAAATCCCTGACTGCCATTCTGTACTTAACAGATTCTAACCCAACGTATATATCCTTTGCCTCTCTTGAATCCTGTAGTTCCCCAAAGCTTAAATTATAAAGTTGCTGATGAGTAGCAATAATACGGTGTGCTTATCTGTATGTATGTATATATATGTGTGTGTGTACATATGTACACACACACAACACACTGTGTCCTGTATGCCTACAGAAGCTATTGTTTTAAGTCCAAAAGATGTACTTTTAAAATAAGAAATAATGTTGGGCGTGGTGGCACACACCCTTTATCCTAGCACTCAAGAGGCAGAGGCAGGCCAATCTCTGTTTGAACCAGCTGGTCTCATAGTGAGTTCCAGGACACCTCTGGCTATATAGGGAGACCCTATCTCAAAATAAATAAAAATGAAAACAAAACAACAAAATCACAACTCAGTGGGCTGAGCTTCTGTGGTTTCCAGACACTGTCATGGTGAGTTCATTGAAGACTGCTGTCCTAGTGGGATTGGCTGTGTAGGATATTCTACACAAGAGGCTAACAATAATACACACAAAGTTTCCTGATGTTCTTAAGCAGGTCCCTAAAATGTAGCTTATAGAAAACATAAATATTATAGAATAGCAAAAAGAATTGGGTACAGACAAAGTAGAACCAGATGTTAAAAAATTAGAAAATATGCTTCAGGGTAGTCAAAAAGAAGAGGTGATTTTTAGGCTGAAGTGAACTAAATTTGACCAAGAAAAAAAAATTGTTGCAGTGGGAGCCATAGGAGATATTAGTGGAAGAGTGTCTTGCCAACCAGTGGAAATGGTCAATATGATCATTGATCTAATAGTTGATGGGAAGGAAACTGGTGTAATGAAATGCTATGTTAAGAAAATAAAAATGAATAAACATACATGGAATGTTGAAATATGGCTTTTTGAAAAAAAAGATTTTAACTAAATATTATGGGCTGACACATGAGACTTTTGTGGGGGGAATGAAGCTGCTCCAGACCTTCAGTGTAGTGGTGTTTTCCTAACTTGTACTTTGTGAAAATTAACAGAACCGTATTAACAAGAGGGTGAAACCTCATGTCAACGAAACAAAACAGAACAGAAAAGGGAGTTCCATCGTCCATTGGTGCTCCTCAGTTTGTTCAGGGACAGCCACAGTACAGCACTGCGTTGTGTAACTTTACAGAGGTAGAGATTTCATTACTGATGGGAGCTTATTGGGGAGATGTCTTTGGAAATTTTCCTTTGTACTTCCCTGGAAGTAGAAAATCTATTCAAGGTTAAAGCTGGCATCAACAAGGGAATGGACAAATTAATAGCAAAGACCTAGGAAAGAGATGAGAATTAAGACTAAAGTTTTTCATAGTAGAGTGGGTAGAGCCTCAAGCTCCTAAGAAAAATTGGACCAAAAAAGGAAAAAGTGTAGGTTTTACTCCCAGTATCCTGCATGGACGCTTGAGTTTATTATTCTCAGCTTCCTGTTCACAGTACTGTCATGTCACTTGACTGTTTAGCTCTGGTTGTCCTGGAACTCACTTTGTAGACCAGGCTGGCCTTGAACTCACAGAGATCCACCTGCCTCTGCCTAAATGCATGCACCAACAGGCTGACTATTCTTTAAGCCTTTTTATATAACTTAGCCCAGCATGCATTTGGTTTGATATTGATGAACACAGTATAAAATTAATTGTTCTACAACTGACAGCATAGCACTTATACAACTTTCTTTTGACCTACATAACTATTTTTAATCTTTGTAAGACTCTTAGGTTCTTACCTGCTTATCTTGGTGTCTCCAGAATCTCTACCTTTGTGTTATCTGACACCTAGTGGATACCCAAAGAATATTTCCTGGAGAAACAACTTTTTTTTTTTTTTTTTTTTTTTTTTTTTGGTTTTTGGTTTTTTGAGACAGGGGTTCTCTGTGGCTCTGGAGCCTGTCCTGTGTCCTGGAACTAGCTCTTGCAGACCTGGCTGACCTTGAACTCCCAGAGATCAGCTGGCCTCTGCCTTCTGAGTGCTGGGATTAAAGGCACGCGCCACAACCACTCAGCACAAAAAAACATATTTTGAGCTCTGAAGGGAATGTAAAATGGTTTAGTTTCCAGATACATTCCACTGAAAAGTTTTTTTTTTCTTTTAAAAAAAAACAACAAAAAACAGAATTTCAGGCTGGCTTCTGAGGTGTGGAAGGTGAAGACCTTAAACTTCTGTTTTGTTTTGTTTTTTTGCAGAAAAAAAGTGGGTATTTATTTAGTGTGTTATGGAAGGGAAGGGGAAAGGGAGAAGGGGGAGGAGCATAGAGAGAGAAAGAGAAACAGAGGTGGGGGGGGAGTGGGGAGAAGGGAAAAGAGACAGAAAGGCGATTTGCCTGTCTTTATGTCCTGTTAAGAGTTGTAGGTATGATTTATTCCAGTGGTGAGACAAAATACATGGCTTTGTGCATATGAGGCAAACACTACCAACTACCAGCTACAGCCCCAAGTTCCCAAATGTAAGCAGACAAGAGGGCAGAGGGAAAGGTTATGTGGAATTTGATCATAGAACCCACCACTTACATAATTAGTTGAGCTTTAATGGTAGAATTAAGGAATGCAGATCCTTCAATATTCTTTCATATTGCTAGGCTATAATGGAAAAACCTTATAAGACTGGGTGGCATATGCTTTAATTACAGCATGCAAGAAACAGAAGCAGGTAGATCTGAGTTAAAGGCCAGCCCATGGATGTAACCTTCTGAAGATAAAACCCAGAGCCTTGCATACATGCATGGTATCATTACACTATTCCCCCAGCCCTCATTAAAAAATTTTAAGGCTGGAGCTGTGCGATGGTGGTGCTGCATGCTTTAACCCCAGCACTCAGGAGGCAGAGGTGGGCAGATCTCTATGAGTTCAAATCAGACTGGTCTCCAAGAGCTAGTTCCAGGGCAGGCTCTAAAGCTACAGAGAAACCCTGCCATAAAAACAAAATTAAAATTAGCCGAGTGGTGGTGGTACACACGTCCTTAATCTCAGAACTCAGGAGGCAGAGGGATGTAGATCTCTGTCAGTTCAAGGACAGACTGGCCTACAAAAAGAGTTCCAGGACAGCTAGGACAGAGAGAAACCCTGTCTCAAAGAAAACTAACAAAATTGAAACTGGGGGATAGGCTGTTAAGAGGACATACTACTCTGAGAAGACCTGGGTTCAGTTCCCAGCACTCATCTGGGAGCTTACAACCATACAGAACTCCAGTTCCAGGGAATCTACCAACCTCTTCTGACCTCTGTGGGAACAGGAAACATAGGCATTCAGCTTTTAAAACATAAATACTAATTGAGGGCAGAACTCCTTTCCACTTACTCTTTCTAGAGATATTTTGCAGGCATATCTTTATAAGATATACTTGTTACTATATTAGAGTAATGACACTCAGTAGATGACAAACTTAACACGTTTTGTTTACACCTGAGAGCATGTGCATCACATGCATGGAAGCAAGAGGGTGTCAGGTCTTCTTAAACTGTAATTACAGGTAGTTGTGAGACATTGGATATAGGCACTGGGATCTCTGCAAGAGCGCATGCTCATAACTGATCTCAGTAATCCTAATGCCTGTATCTCAACCTCCAAATCCTACTTGTCTTTGTTGCAAGCTAGTTCTGTCACACTGGGAATCAGGGATTGAGTCTTCCATACTGCTCAAGGATGGGAATCTATAGCATTTCCTGGTCTCAAAAAGTTCTAGCACAAAATCTCACAAATTATAAAATGTGATAAGTTAAATATTGAAAGAACTTATCAGTTCTGTAATTTAATATGAACATTAAACAATGACACAACTCTGTACTCGCCTCGCAGAAGGGCTTATTCATGTTTCAATACTATCTGGCTGCTACATGCAGCTAGGCAGTGTGTGAACAAGTCATGCTAGAGTGAAAGAAAAACGGGCTAAAAATTAGAACTGCTTTGCTATTGCAATCAGCTTTTGTAGAAGACTTTATACATCTTCAAAGTAATCTTTCTACCTCCACTAGTTTCCATTTTGCAGACTACAATTTCCTGGATTTTTTAAATTTTTTAAAGACAGGGTTTCTCTGTAGCTTTGGAGCCTGTCCTACTAGCTCTTGTAGACCAGGCTGGTCTCGAACTCACAGAGATCTGCCTGCCTCTGCCTCCAGAGTGCTAGGATTAAAGGTGTGCGCCACCGCTGCCTGGTTCCTAGATTTTTAAAAAATTGTTTAAGGTTATGCGGCTCTGGCTGTCTTGGTACTCTATGTAGATGAAGCTGGCCTTGAATTTAAAGATCTGCCACATCTTCCTCCCAGGTGCTGCCACCTAAGTATTTTTAAAATGGTATGACAGCCTGTAATTCCATCTCCTACAAGGGTAAAAAAAAGAGGATTCTAAATTATAATCTGGGCAAATTGAGACCTGTCACAAAGACTGCATGGGAGTGGGTTCAAGAAGAAAAAAAAAAAAAAGTAGTACCATAGACTGAATGAACTAAATGTAAAAAATAAAAGTAGGATCACAAGAAGCTGGCGAGATGGTCCAGTGGGCAAGAGTGAATGCTGTTCTAGCAGTGGGCTGGAGTTTGGGTCTCAGCACACAAGCTGGATTCTTCATAGAACCGTAAGTTCCGGGGAGAATTCTGGCCCCCTCCAGCATCAGCACTTATATATACATACCCTCCATACACACAAAAAGCAAACTATTTTAAGAAAAAAAAAAAAGCATTAGCACTCAGGGGCAAATGCAGATGGATGGCCAAGTTTGAGGCTAACCTGGGCTACAATGTAAGACTTTGGTTCCAGAAGTCAAAATAGTTATTCTTAAAATGTGACAGATCTTCTGTATGTTTTATCATATGTAATTAGGATCAGTAACGATGCAGCATTCAAGATCTTTGAGGTCAGAAAGGAAGTGTCCATGTATGTATTATAATGTGCCCACCCATCCTGGCACTGGGCATCACAGCAATCAGTGCTTGTTACTAAGGATCACTTACAGTAAGTACTATCAGTACTGACAGTTAGGTTTCACTGTCAGTTGCTCAATTTCCTTGTTGAATAATATTCTATCTTCTTCAAATACCAATTTGACACTAGTCTAGGGCTCCCTATGTGGACCAAGGAGTGGGGAATCATTCTTTGCCTTTATTATTATTTTCTTTGTCTTAAGAATGTTTCTGCTTAAACTGCATTTCCTTCTGGACAAGCATGTGAAAACATATGTATGGAGGAATTAAGAACTGTTGAATTGTGAGGCATTAACTACAAACTTCCAAAATCTTGGAACTACTTTTCTTGGAGTTGAAGGATGATTACACTGTGAAGGCAAAAATAGGGAAAATTATTGCAGCATTAAGTATTTAAATACATTTAAACTCTACAAATGTATGCAATTTTAAGCAAGGAATGATACATACCTTTAATCTCAGCCAGCAAGCTTTGCTGAGACACGATCTTGGGATCTACAACCAGCTCTGAACTCAAATTTCCCAAGGCCTGATACATTTATGAAATCATGCACAGGTGGTGTGCTTTAAATAGAACTCTTGTCACCAGGTCTGTAGTCAATGGTTGCTGCACCTCTTTGGGATATATGCAGAGTTGAAACACTCATGAATATAACTTTCATTTTGCTCCTCTTGAGTACAAGTTCCTATGCAGTGGACCTTAGGTTGAACCAACCAGCTGTTGTCTCACCTCCTATATAGCCAGGCCGACTTGTTCTTTTTTTGTTTCGTTTTTCGAGACAGAGTTTCTCTGTGTAGCTTTGGAGCCTGTTCTGGAACTCTGTAGACTTCTAAAAAATTGTTAAGCATATAATGTGTATTTGCGGAAGTTCAGGCTGGCAGACACAAGATCAAAGGAGAGCTTTCAGGAGCTTCCCCTTGGGTTTTAGGGTTCAAACTCAAGTTAGGTTTACCTGCCCAGTCACTTGGATGGCCTGGATTTGAGCTTAAACTTCAAAACTATGGTTAATTCCTATAACAAGAACTGAACATGATACCTAAATATGTATGATGTCAGTATTTCATTTCTGTTGAGAATGTAACCTTAGACTGCTAAGATATTCTCACATTAGGAATGACTCCAGTGCTTACTTACTGAGCAGACTAATCAATCCTATGTATGTTTCCATGATGCTCCTTGGATTTAACATTCTGATATTGCTCTTCTATTCACTTGTGTTACTAAACTCTTCGTTTGCATGTACCAGGTACACTAGATACAGCCAAGCTCACATTTTCCAGACACTTGTACTGGATCTGTAAGAAACAAATTTTTCTAACATCAAGATTTCACCATGAAAGCTTTCTTAAATACATGCATGCATTTTCTATGTGCATATGTATCTGTACATTATGTCCAAAAGTGAATCAGATGCCCTAGAGTTAAGACATACAGCCACAGTGAGCCCCCATGTGGGTGCAGGAACTGAATCTGGGTTCTCTGGAAGAGCAGCCATTGTTCTTTACTAAGTCATCTCTCCAGCCCCTTAATTAATTTTATGAGCATTTTGAATTATATGGGATAAGGCATAAACTTTCAGTGATGAGATCCTATAATTTATTTCAGATAAGGACTATATAGCTCAGGCTCATGTCTCTCTTACTACCCCAGCCTTGGGTGTGCAAGGTACAACTTACATTTGGCTTAACTGGCCTTGGATACAGTAATAAAAATAGTTATCAGGCTTACACTCCAAACTTGTTATAAGTTACTTCTTTACTTTTAGTGACTTCTATTAAAACCTGAATACAACCTGGTAGGAGAGTAAAGAATTAAAAACATAAATTCTCAAAAAAAATATTACTAAATGTATAGAGTTCACATGTGTAGTTTGGTAAATTTCAGTGCATGTTTTTTTATTTACAGTTTTTTTCAAGACAAGATTTCTCTGTGTAATAGCCCTGGTTGTCCTGGAACTTACTTTATAGTGTAGGCTGGCCTCTAGAATATTCTCCTGCCTTTACCTCCTGACTGCTGGGATTAAAGACATGAGCCACCATACCTTGCTTACTTGTACTTTTTATTATATAAAAAAATCTTAATGCAAACAAATTACAGTATTAGCAGTAATCATGACTATCCTAATTGAAGTGATACTTCCTTATAATAACTGCCTAAGGACTGAAATACATCTGCTGGATATTGGTTGAAGCACTGTTAAGTATCATGGAGCTGATAAAACATGCATTTATCTGTAAAGATTAACATTCGAAGATTTTTGATTACTTTCTTCCTAATTCAATGCAATGTACTTTATGCATTTAAAAGGTTTTAGTATTGAAGAGATCTATGGACTGCAGCTGATTTGAAAAGGGATCCCGGACACTGAAACAGGCTTGCTCATGACTTAGAGGGACATAGGTTACCCTTGTACCTCCAGGTTCTTGGGCTCAGTACTCAATTATTACAGTCAAAAACTTACAAATGGTTCAACCTTGTCCACCAAAAACTGATACTTTAAAAGTACCCTTCAAATCTAAGCTACATTTGCTTATGTGGTTGGACTATATTCTTCACTAGAAAACTCAATGAAGTAGGCATATAAGTTTTGTACAAATAAAAGCCTGGCATGAACAAACCAACACCGTATGGAACTGAGATGTCTTTTTATGGTGAAATTCCACCAAATGACAAAAGCAGCTTTCAGCTGACAAATGGTGCTCATAGGCATACTCACCTGCCACGATGTACAGCTAGAGAAATGATTTGACAAACTGTAGTTTGACCTCAAAGAGCACACATGTTTTAGTATCTCCAGTGTTTCCTATCAGTCAAATGCTTTTTAAGCCAATCCTGTCAGGGCTCTGTAGTATCCCCTAAAAATTTACTTCCCTCAACTATGACAGCCACCAGAACTCATTTTTATGCAAGGCTTCATGGTACATGCCTTTAGCTCTAGCACTAGGGAAGCAGAGACAAGAAAGATCTCTGAGTTTGAGGCCAGGCTGATCTATATAGTTCCAGAACAGTCAGGGATATAGAAAGACCATGTCTCAAAACATTAAAACTATTTTTTGGGAGGAGAGGGTAAGTTTTTTTGAGACAGGGTTTCTCTGTAGCTCTGGAGTCTGTTCTGGAACTCTGTAGACCAGACTGTCCTCAAACTCAGATATCCACCTGCCTCTGCCTCCTGTGCATTGGGATTAAAGGCATGTGCTACCATGTAGCCAAAAGAACTTATTTCTACTTAAGTTATTTGAAATATGTTCTAGACAAGTGCACAGGTATAGTTACCATAATTAGCTTAGCAGAAAAAAAATGCTGCCAAGATAGATCTCTTTGAGTTTGGGGCCAGCCTAGTTTACATAGACAGTTCCAGGACAATCGGTGCTACACAGTGACTCAGGTCTGTGAAAAATGAAAGAGGTGGTGGAAGTGTACCAAGTGGCTCTTTGAACATAGTTTCCAAATTCAAAGCAAGTCACATTTATTAATGTGTCTCCCTACTCCCAATAGCTGAAGTATTAGCAGATTGGTGGATTCAGTCTTAAAACTCCCAGGAACAGATAGTAGTCTAAATATAAAATTCAGATTTGGGGAGTCATCCTAGATGACTTTGCAATTTTTCTGTAGTTCAAAACGTGTTATTTTACAGTGCAGCAATTTAACCTGCAGCCATATTGTCTTTCCTCAAAAACAACCCAAGTTACACCCAGACTAGAAGGTACAGATCTTGTGAGGACAAATGGACCTACATTTGGACATTCTGGATGGACTACCATGTCAGGACTTTGCAATGAATAACTTCCCTTGATGCTTTTAAGTTTTTCATTATATAAAACACTTAGGTTTTTTTTTTTCATTTATCCTTTCAGTTAAATTTCTAGGAAAAAAAGGCTAAGCAATTGGAACGACTTCAGGCAATGTGAAATTTGCCTGAATAACTGTCAGAGATGGATCTAAGAAATCTACAGAGGCCTATGCTGCCTATCAGTTGCTTTTCTCCTTTTGCATCTTTCGTATCTGCACAACCACACATTTCCCATGTAAGTAATCTAACAAATCCAATCATGGATTTCTCTTGTTGCTAAGACATTGATTGATTGACAGGTGGGCAGTGAACAGTCCCATTCACCATGCATGAAGTGCTTTCTCCAATAGTGGTTTTAAGGATCCCAGTTGGGGCCGGTGTACATTAACGATATACTTGTGAGAGCAAACACCACCCTTTAGGAGGGAACTACTCAATAGTAAGGTTCACGGTCACTGCATGCATCTTGTTTTTTGTAGAGTCATTAAAAAAATGTACAAAAGTTGCCAGGCGGTGGTGGCGCACACCTGTAATCCCAGCACTTGGGAGGTAGAGACAGGCGGATAGATATCTATGAGTTCGAGGTCAGCCAGGTAGGTATACAAGAGCTAGTTCCAGCACAGGCCCCAAAGCTACAGAGAAACCCTGCTTGGAAAAACAAAACACTCCCCCCTCCCCCGGCACAATAGTTATATAAGCAGTCAAGACCCGAAAATGGCAATTATGAAAAGAAAAAGAATTGAATGAAAATCTTTTCTGTGGTTTGACAGGGATTCACCATGTAATTCAAGGTGGCTCGGATTTCCCTTCTCAGTCCAGGCTGGGCTGCAAGTCAGCTTCCCTGTTTCTACCTCCAAGGTGCTGGGATTAGAGGCTAGTGCCATGAGGCCCCATAGCCAAATGTTTAGTATTACACAGGAAAATTATTGCAAAAGTATTTCAGAGATCCTCTCCTTTCTCTTCTTGGCTGGGTCTCTCAGCAGAGTGGAAGTTAAATGTCCTCAAATTCCTTCAGTAAGTGGCCACTGTGCAACGATTAGGAGGGGACTTTAGCTTCTATGACGGGTTAAATAAGTTGTGAGATAGAGGAGGTTCAGTGGTTAAGAGCACTTGCTGCTTTTGCAGAGGATCAGTTTCAGTTCCCAACACTCACAAGTGGCTCAAAACCACCTATAACTCTAGTTCCAAGGGGAATCTGATGCCTTCTTCTGACCTCCATGGGTATCAAGCACATACACGAAGGCAAAACACCCATACATATAAACCTTTTAAAAATAAATAAGGCTGTTGCTTCTAACATCTTAAAGAAACCCTTTTAATTCTGCTTGTCCCTACCATTATTTTTTTTCAGATTCAAACCTCTTATCTTTATTTGGCATCTACTTTTCTCTATTCCACATTTCATTCCTTAAATCCTAAAATTTGATGACTTTTCACTACATTGTTAATTAAGTTTATCTGAAAAATAACAAAATTTAGTAAGCCTTCATGGGGAAACAATGCCACCTGAAAATAAAAATGCTTAGTAATTATCTCAAAAGCAGCAAGAAACAGATAAAAAGAAAGCAGAATTTTGGAAAGACACACAAATGCTGGGCGGTGCTGGCACATGCCTTTAATTCCAGCACTCACAAAGCAGAGGTAGGTGGATGTCTGTGAGTTCGAGGCCAGCCTGGTTTACGAAGCAAGTTCCAGGACAGCCATAGCTGTTAGACAGAGACCATGTCTTGAAAAGCAAAAACAAACAAACAAAACAAAAATCAAAAAACAAAACAGATACACCATGAACACTGAAAATGGAAGTTTCATGGGACTCGAGTAATGCCCAGTGTGATAATCAGGCAGAAAATGCAAGCATCAATGTAAATAGTGCATCACTCTTAATGACTCACAACTGTGACAGTGTTGTACTCCACAGCAGTCTAGAAAAGCCCACTTATTACACACAGGAACATGCTATTTACTTGCAGTATTGCAACTGTAATTGAAGTTCTGTATGTCAACTTTACTTACAATAGTAAGTTTTGTATATTACTTTAGAGAAAGACCCAAATCCTTCCACATTGATTTTCTCGTAAGTGGTTTTGTACAGTTTTCTTGTATAATTGTGGTGATGGTTGGAACTCTTAGCAAACTAAAACCCACTGGACTACACCCTTTAAATGTGAACTGTATATGTGAATTTCATTTCAAGAAAGCTATATATAAAAGAGATACAATTTAGAGGATTACTCTTTACAGCAAGTTCACACAGAGAGCATCTCAAATGAAGACCTATGAACACATACCTACTTACATAACTGATTACAGTTGAACATCTCTGCATACCTAAATTTCCTGAAATGACTATGTTCATGAACACAGTTTTTCAGCATATATTCTTGTAAACACATGTTCTATAGTGCCCCTTCAATTGTCCAAACCTGTTAAAAATCTGAGAAATAAGATAAGATAGGCAGTCATTAATTAAAATTAACTTGAAGTCATTTATACTTTTTCTTGGTTTTTAGAGACAAGGTAGCCTTGTGTAGCCCTGGCCGTCCTGGGCTCAGTAGACCAGGTTGGCCTTGATCTCACCACCTGTCTCTGCCTCTTTGATGTTGGGATCAGAGGCGTGTGCCATCACTGCCCAGCTAGACTTTAAATTTTGACCCTGAGACATGTGTTGCATTTACCTTAAGCCATATGTAAACCCAGTAGCAAAACCTATGCCAAACTATTATAAACACAATAGCTATGGTACTACTAACCTGAGACTTGTTTCCTAACGGTTGTCAATGCAAAGGAAGAATGTCTAAATCATGAAAAGTTTGTTTTCTTATTATATGAAATGAACTAAAAGATTTTTCCAAACAAGCAAACAAAAAAACCCAAACCCACGATAACTAAATCCAAATGGTGTGCCCATCTGTGTCCACTTATGGAAATGTATACTGTGGCAAATGTTTACCTTAATCAAAGAGGAGGTCTGAAAGATGTACCCTTCTGGTAAAATGTTTTCCTTAAGTTTCTAAAGAATATAGAATCTTTTTTCCCTGTGACCGTTAAGACTTAACTTGTAGAGTTTTTCTAAAATACACTGTTATTTTTTTCCCCCACACATTTATGGTTAAATATCCATTATCTATAAGGCTAAAACACTTCAAAGCACTCAATCACACGACAAATTATAGAAGCCACTACATTATATTGGTTCCATTTCACAGTATTTCCAAACAGTCTGTTATTTTTCTTTCAATAAATCAGTCTTCGACAGTAACCCAAACTAAGATTATATTGCTCATATAAATGTCTTTTAAAACAAAGATTCATTTGCCTAAACCCTACAGTTGAATCTAGGGGCAAAAAGAAGGGTAAAGACTGTTTCTTTTCTAGTACTTACCACCATTATGGGTAGAACAGCAGTATTTGAGGTTTTTACCTTGTTGAATTTATGGAAGAATGGCTTTTGCCACTCCCCTGGCTTCTTCTCACAACAGAACATAAGCTGGATCTTTGCAAACTGTTTCCAAGGGCCACCAGCTGCAGATGCCTTTGACTCCTATTGTGTTTTGTCAGTTTAAAAAACAGTCAGCTTGGTCTTTTGAAAGGAAGATCTATTGACCAGTTGAATTTTATTAACTTCTAACAGAGGCATAGTGTGTACTTTCACTGATGTAAACAAACCTGGGCTGGGGATCCAATCCAGGGCCTTGAGTATGCTAGCTGGGTTCTCACCACTGAGTTACAGCTCCTGCACAAAACTCGGTTTTCAAAGTAAATGTAACAGAGAGAATAAGCAACACAAATTATGCATTTTTAACTTTTTAGAGACTCTCTATACGAAGTAAAATTTGCCATCCTTCCACAGTCGACTTCAGAATCTGAAAAACAAGCACACAATACTGCTTTAGTTATGCAATTGGGAAAACAGACAATTTGGGATGCTGAGCCAAGGGCCTCATAAAGTTCTTGAAGTAATCTTATGTTTGGAATACTCCAGAGAAGGCACTGAACGCACGGTGGGGTCAAGTGGGTAAGGAAAGGGAATGGTTAATGCGTTAACTAACGTTATCTGCATGAGTATGTCACAACGAAATACATTATTTTGCATAATTTTGTTAATATAAGCTAACAAAAAAAGAAAAGGCAAGATAGGAATCCATGGTTACCAACACCGAATAGCCTACGTATTTTAGCATAGTTCACTCAGCATTAGTCCTGATAAGATTGCTCACTTGCAGTCCCTTTTAATGTCTTTCGCTTTAGCGGGTAGGTTAAGAAAGATTAAACGCTAACTTCCTTTGGCAGCTCCTCGTCTTTCTTCTCATTAGGACCAAAGATACGATCCTTGGCGTTCAGTTATCTACCAACGACTTCTCTAATGCCCTTTGAAAATCGTTACAGGATTACGACTCAGTGTGTGTGTGTGTGGGGGGGTGTCACATCTGAGGAAGAGGGCATGGGGGAAATGTGGAGGAAAAAAATGGCAAGACGACAAAAAAAAAAAAAATCCAACCCAGGCTTTGCTCCACTCGTCGGATGCAAGAGGGCAGGCGCGAGGCCCGCCGTCCCGTAGCACAACAAAGACCCCTTCTGCACAGATTGTCCCGCTACGAGGTTTAAGGGGTCCTCCACGCCCGGAAGTGAAGCGGCTCCCTGGGTCCTTCGGTAAAAAAGCCGAGGGAAAGGCGTGAGGCCCTGTGCAAGCCCGGCTGGTGGAGGCTCACGCCGACCCGCGAGGCCATCTCCGGTCCGACGGCCCTGCCCATCCCCAGCGGAGTCTTCGTCCAGTCTCAGCCAGTGCTCGAAACTATCAACCCCCACGTCCTCTGCCTCACCAGTCTCACCACGCCGCTTCTCAGCTCCACGAGCTCCCGAAGCCTCGGCCCGCAGCAGCTCCCGAGCTTCAACATGGCGGCCGGTCCGGTCTCTCTCAGTCTGGGCGCTCCGACCGAGGCATCCTGGGCATTGTAGTTCCGGTTGTAGCCTCTGCGTCCCTCACGGATTTCAGAGGACTACAGGTCCCAGAATGCACAGCTCTGGAGCATGGCTATTGGGGCCGCTCGGACAGAGGGATGATGTCATTGCAAAACCCCACTGCATTCATTGTGCTATGGTCTATCCACCCCCCCCCCCCCCCCCCCCCCCGCTGCTGCTGCTGCTGCTGCTGCTGGGCTCGCTATTGCCGCTCGCTCCAGCTGAGCTCTGAGTAGCAGCAGGACCAGGGCAGGGACTGACTCCAGTCCTTGGACTTAGGACACCGCAGCACCTTCCCTTACGTGCGTGACTCAGTCGCATATCATTTCTGTTTATGCCTGGGGTGGGGAGAAAAATCCCAAACCAGGTGAGTTGAAGTGATTTATTCAAATCATTCTCCCAAGTTATTCCTCCCGCTTAGTGCTCAAGGCTTTCTTTTGGAAGATGGGGCCGGGAATGGGGGTATGGATTCGGGAGGTTTTCACTGGCGCTGCTAAGAGCTAAATTGCTCTGTGCAATTTGGGTCACTGCAAAGAACAACTCCAGCAACCTGCCCCCGCCAGAGGACTGGTGCCTGCCAATTTCCTCGCCTCCCTTTAACCTTTTTGAGGCTGTGAGAGGGGGCAGGGCTGGCAAGGATGTTGGGAAGTGCACTTGGAAAACACGAGGAGGGCAAAGGTGGCGGACTGCAGTCCTGTCATTCCCCGGCCTCGGTGCTGAGGTTTGAGTGGGAAAGGGTGATGTGTGTGGGAGAAATGGAGACAGTGATTTAAGGTGGTTATACTTCTTTAGGACATTTGTGTGTCTTGGACTAGCACACACTGTTTTTTTTTTTTTTTTAAGATGAGCACGCTTCTCTTGAGTCGCTTAAGTTTCGTAGGGCTTTATTTTATCTTTGGATGTCTGTGTCGTTTGTCTCGCTTTTTTTCCTGCTGATTTGAGGTGACAGTGTCCTCTAACGGTGCACTCCGTGACAGTCAGAAATATTTCACGTGTCTAGGGAAGGTTTTTCTTAGACTGCTAGGAGCAGCATTTTTGTTAACGTTTTTTTCCACCCTCCCGTTTTCTCGACTGCGGGATTCAGGATTGTTTGGAAGTGGAGCTGATAGATTTGTGCTTGTGTGAGTGTTTTAAATTACATCGCAATAGGCTCTCGCCACTGACGATGGTACTGTAGCGAGCTGCCGTTTTCCCGAGGCTCAGTCGCCACTCACACTTAACGGTTTGTAGACTTGGGAACCTGGGTACTTTTTTTTTTCTTTCTTTCTTTTTAACACTTTAGGGAAAGAAAAAGTTAGACTTACTGTCACCCTTTACTGGTCGTCCCTGAAAGGTATCCAAGAGCCTGACGGGGCAACCAGGGACCATGCGAGTGTGTTTTTTTGTTTGAATTTTGTGTTTCAGTGAATTGACACATTTAATAAGGCAGGCAACATTCTGGCTTGTAGGATGCTGGCTCTCCTCTTCTCTTCTAAGAGTTACAGGCTTGAACACTGTAATAAATATGTTCCTTTCAGATAAACAGCTGGCTGGCTCCGGAACAGATGCGGCCAGTCTTAGCTGAGAGATATACAACCTTGGAAATGAATGGGCTTAGGGTCAACCACACCCCCTTTAGGAATGTCAAAAGAAGGAGAAATGCCAGAGTATTTGCTTAACTCCAAAATGCTAAAGCTTTCCTCGGTTGAGTCAGGCTTTGGGGCGGGGGGTGGGGTGGGGGGGGTGGGGGGTGTGTGTGGGGGGGAGTGGTGTCATTCCTTTAGCTTCTTTGAACCACTTTTATTCATTTTTAATTTAGATGCTCAGGTCTCCAAAGTTGCAGCTGGGTGACTTGTAAAATGCTGCCTGTTACTGAATGGAAAGGACTGTCCCTTGTACCGGCTTTCTACGTAGAGTGGTTTATAGGCATGCATCAAACAGCTTTTGGATTTGGGAAAAGATCACCAGTCTGTGGCCTCTTCCTACATCTTTGTGGTGACATCCTGCCCTTCCCTCCTACACCTTTCTCTCCCTACCCCGCTCACATCTCTTCAAATTCCATTTCTTTCCTACTCTATTTGCAATACATGCTGGCTTTCCCTCTCTGTTTCAAGATCTCCCCTGGGACAGGAGAGTATCACATCCCTTTTTTTTCTTTCTAACTCTCTTTCCACTCCCCATACCTTCACCCCACCCTAGAGGATGTAGGCTCTGTGTCTTGTTGTTCAGAGCCCTCTTTGAAGAGGTCCTGACGCTTCTTTTTCTTAGAGTCTGTGCTTGGAAGGATGGCAGCGATGAGCCTGATCCCGGGCTGGGGTTGTGGCTTTCCTGACAGACATAACCCGGGCCCAGGAGCTTGTGGACAATGAAATGCAACTGTGGAGTTCTTGTATCTTTCCTTTCTGTGGCACCTGCTAAGAAGTGCCCATGGCTTAACAATTTCTTTTAAGGCTTTACACACATCGTTCATACATGATGCCCAAAGGAAGTAGTCTTAAGTAGTTTCTGATTCATATAGTCTTTTTGTTTCTTATCTGTTCCTGTGAACGGTGGGGAAAGAGCCTGTCCCTTAGCATGCCGCTAGTGACAGTGTGAGTAGCAAACCTGCATTTGGCTTCCCGAAGGTAGTTGCAGTTCCTGCCATTTTGTCTTCTTTGTGGAGGAGAGAAGTTTGTTGTTTTCTGTTGCTCTCCCCAGGAGCTGGGTGTGGTGGCAGCTGTGTCTCTTTACTTAACGGTAGTGTTTCTTCAGGCGTGCAAAGTCCCATGTCCATTTGAAGTCAGCCTTTGTGACAGGTGAATGGGACTTCTTTTGTGCCACCTTGTATTATTAATTCCCTTCTCCTGCCATGCCCCCTCACTCACTGGGGGTTTTTCGTGACATAGCGATGAGAAATGAGATGAATGGAGGATTTGATTTGGCTATATCCCTGCTGTCCTATGACTTTGAAGAGCTGGAAATTTCTTTCTGCCTCAGGTTGTAGATCTGCAAAGGGACACCAGCGCTTGCTTCTTGGTTTGCTTGGCCTGTTGTTAAAACCCTCCACGATAAAGCCCGAAACTTAATCTGACAGCAAAGATCAAATGAGCAGGTATTGTGTGATAAGCACCATGGTCCATCAATGAAGAGACATGTTACTCCTGCTCTGAACTGTTCCAGGAGAAGTGTACTATTCTTCCTGGTGATTGAACTGAAGACGAAATGGGAGTACTCAATATGACTGTTGCTTTTCTGGAGTAACCAGAGCTAGTTTCCTGTGGGAAGTGGCATTTAAAAAGGAAAAGGGACCTGAGTGATCAGGAAGTCATTTGGGGTAGCAATGGGAATTGCTTAGAGTAGGGCAAATAGGGTTTTTGGCAGGCAGAGGAACAGCATATTCAGCAGGCAAAGAGAAGAGTAAGGGACGGGGGTAGAATGAAGGAGCTGGAAGAGATGGGAGAGGCTGGAGCCTGGGCAGTTTTGAATGACAAGGTGATTTTGGTCTTCATCCTCAGGGTAATGGGAATTTAGGACGTGCTTTAATTAGCCAGATGAATGCCATGTATGGAATTGTATTTAATACACCGTAGGGTTAGGAGGATGGCTCCGTGGGTAAAAAGCACTTGCCATATATGCCTGAGGACCTGAGTAATTCTCTTGAACCCATGGAGGAAAGAGAAGATTGACTCCTGAAAGATGTCCTCTGATGTCCATGTCTGCTGTTGTATGAGAAGATGCTCGAGAGCTCGAGGTTGTGTGCACACACACTTGCACACGTGAACACACACACACACACAAATAATAGATGATGAACATTTTTAAAAGACAGAGAAGAAATTGGACAAAAGCTTGACCAACTTGAGTTTGGAGAGTGAGTCGCTGGTATCTCTGAAGTCTTGGTGATGGATGATGATGCTTGACGCCTGGTGGAGACTAGAGAGACATGGATGTTTGAACATTATCATCGCATAAATGAGTTGATTGATTAGACGTGAGAGCAGGAAGGAAAAGTAGAATATGGCTTGCAGTTTTCCTTTTTAAGCAATCCAGATGACTTTTACAGAGAAAGAGGCAGCTGATTGGGTGTGTTCATTCAAGAAGGTGGGGGGGGCGCTGCAGGTTTTGTTGAAGTTCGGGTTTCTGGGACACATCTAAGATGTTTGTTTTAGTCCTTCTATCGTTTGTGGAGGGGTGTGGCATGGTAGTCTAAGGAAGAGAGCTCTAATGAGGCTAGGCTGGCATACTACTTATTAATGTATGATGTTGGGAATGGCATATTTATTCTTTTTCGAGGTTTAGTTTTCTCTTTTACAAAAGGCATTTATCTCACTACAGGATACTGATGTTCATATGTATGTACTCCATGCTAGGAATGCATCATCAAGTAAGAGGATGTTTGCTTTCAAGAATTTCTCTGGGGCTGGCGAGATGGCTCAGAGGATAAGAGTACTGGTTTCTCTTCTAGAGGTCCTGAGTTCAGTTCCCAGCATCACATGATGGCTCATAACCATCTGTAATGAGATCTGGTGCCCTCTTCTGGCCCACAGGGATACATGCAGACAGAATATTGTATATATAAAAAATAAATCTTTTTTTAAAAAAGAATTTCTCTGAAGAGGAAAAGACACATGGGCATCTGGAGGGCTCTACAGCCTTGCTAGGACAGCACAACCCCCCAGAAGGCATTCATTTTTGGGCAGTGGGGAAATAACAATGTGGCCCACACAGCCTTTGACTCTAGAGATGAAGACAAGGAACAGCTCTAGGAAGTTGGTTCCCAGGTCTTGCACAAAGCAGGGGCTCTGCACGTTCATTAACTGGGTGGACCAAACTAGGTTTCTAAGGCTGCTTTCTAAATAAAGAAAGATTTCAGCATATTGAAAGATGCAATCAGGAATAATGAGATGTCAAGTGTAAATGCTGTTAGCAGACCATTTTCTGAGACCTATATAGCCTTTGAGATGTTTTGTGTCATAAGTTTTAGGGAAATTTAGAAGTATTTCAGTTCTGGTTTCTTTCAGGACTCACCTTCACAAATTCAAGTTAATTTCTCAAAAATCATTCTAATGGCCATAATAGTCCC